ACGAGAAAAACTACTTTCGAAACTCAATAATCACTAAAGTTAAGCAAGGATCTACCATCGTGGGTTCTGTGCTGAGAGACCTATTTTAAAAGAAGAGTCTCGCAAAGGTGCTGTACTCCAGTAGGATCTTGTACTCTATGCAGCCTTGTGTACTTTGGGTACTAATACAGCACGTCATGATTATTCAAACCGTATACATTGTTGGTGTATCCACTTTAACTCTGAATGGAGTGATGTGTTTAATTGCTTAAGACCAAAAATGAAACCAATTTCAGAACGAAGTTTCAGTATGTTTTCTACAGAGATGCTATTTCCATAAGCCGGCGGAGAGTAGGAAAACTTGGACAGTTCAATATCATAACAACCATAAACATCATCTAGATAATGAATTGTACTTTGTAAATAAACCGTTTCTCAGTAAATAAACTACTTAATTGAATACTTTTTTATAGATTTTTCTAACGGATGGAAATGTTATGAGTTTAGATTTTGTATGCATGATTTTGCCATTTCTTGTGAACATTCTTAAATGTGTTGCAACTCTTATATGTTAAACTAATTAATAGCATTACTGGATTTTATAGTTTTTCGTGGAAACTTCTCTGGGAAAAATGAAGTCATATCGGTATTGTTGTAGCATTAAATTTAGATTTGATACCATCATTATTAAATATCTCATTTTGGAGTTACGTTGCACAAACACAATCTTCAATAGAACTTCTTTTGTCAATATACCATACACAATATAAAGATAATATTGTTCTTTGTTGTCACCTTTGGCTACCAATATACTACCAAACCAAAATCAACCGAATTGCAAAATCATGTACACATTTTTGTCACAAACTGGTCACGTCTGGGAAACGTAATAATTAAAAACACCATTTTGCAGATCATTTTAATAAAAGTGGCAATTTGTTAAAAACTAAGACGTATCAATTAACATACATAACATTCACCCTTAACGTTACCCATTTGTCCATAAGGTCAGAATTGATATGATTAGGCCTACTTTACTTTCATAGACCTTTATACGATAAACATAGTTTATTAAATAATGTACAATAGAGGGATGGTAAAATACCCAAACAGAGCTATGATTGTATATTAAAGATGTCCTAATGACACTCAATTTCCAGCCATAAGTGCTCAAGTAAATAATTACTTAATACTCAATATACCGATTGACAACATGAGCTGAACAAATTGATTGCGATTTATATGGTAATCAATACCATTTGATTACCATGGCTCATAATCAATTACGTGTTGTCACGGGTATGATCTGTGTCGTCTGCATCTGACGGGGAATTAATATACCTGGTATTGACAACCTTCGAATTGACTTTTGTTTATGTTTGAGTTATTTGTCTCTCGATTTCCAAATCTTTTTTTACTCTTCTCACAGTGAAAGGACTAAATCGAAACTTTACAATTTTCATTTAAATTCTATTTAACACGGAATATTTAAATACTAAAACCAATCCGATAAACAAGCAACATTTATAATTTGTCAATTATTTTACGTAACGCTAGTTTCGTTATACCATGAAATTCTAAGCGTTCATTTACTTTGACGAAACAAATCGTATTTCTAGTCTCAAGAGCTGGTAAGAACTAATGTTGTCGTAAACCAACAAATCTATAAATTCTCTATAAGCATATCAAATTATTTACAACTAAATGTAGATTTGTCTGGGTTATTGTGTTGGTTTTAGTGTCACTCAAAATACAATGCAAACTGCAACACTGCATTAATCATTTAGTGCAATTAGGTTTTGGAACTACTCTTCAGTTTCAATTGACTATTGGCTAATAATGTAATACGTATTTTGTTTGTACCGGTAGCCAACAATGTATTATAGCAGTTACAAATACAATAACTATAATACATGACCATTACAATAAACGATCAGCAATAATTGATGAAATTAATATGTTAAATATTTGTTTGAATTTCGCACTTAAAAAATATCTTTTATTATTTTTACTTAGAGCTTCATCAAGCAACGCTGCAATATTTTACTAAAAAACAAAAGAGTATGTTCCTCTAGCAACGAAGTCCGAGACGCTAACCACTAGCCTAACAACACACATATTTACCAACATTTAAATACTACAATAAATGTTGGTAGGATGCTTTGACGGGGTGATTCAACCCAGTCATCACAAATCCCATTCGAAGAATTTCAGAGTAGAATTTGGAAGTGATGATGTACCGCACAGTTATGAAAACCGTATTTTATAGTATTTATGTGGTATTCCCAGGTTCAAGAACAAATATTTAATTATGTTTTTTACCTTTTGATTGCCAGGTTCTTGATTAATTAATACGTTTACGCTCTATGCACATTTCGAGGAGCTGTTTCTTGTTTCTTCTCACATCACTATCCACTATCCACAAATAGGATAGTGAGTTTTTTAGTGACTAAGTGATTTGAGAAGAAACAAGAAACAGCTCCTGATGATGCCACACTTGTGGCGAAATGTACATAGAGCGTAAACTTATTAATTCATCAAGAACCTGGCAATCAAAAGGTAAACAACGTATTTTATAGTATTCTTATAAAAACATCAAAATTGTAAACTCCGTATACACAACTATCCACACATTGTGTCTTTTCACAAAGGAATTCCTATCCATCACATGTTTGGAACTGCACCTACATTTTAATATAACCTCTAGCACACTTTAGACCCACTTCCCTTGTACAGCCCTGTAACCAGACTCTGGTCGGAGTTTAGAGAGTATTCCATTAACCTAAAGTTCACAGTCTCCCCGGAGCGGTTGGAAACTACAACTTTTCTCTCGAGAGGAAACTAAAACGTTTCAACCTCAAACTAACAGCGTAAACGTTTGTGTAATGAATTTGTTATTTCGTTTAAGGCAATGTTGTTTTGTCTTAAACTTTGTTTTAGTTTGTTTGGTTTTTTAAGACGTTGATGTCCTTTTTGTTTTGAATTTGTCAGTCCACATATGGGCAGGGGTAAAACACTTCAAGCAAATCAAGCCGCTACAGTACAAACTTAGTACAAAGTTAGTAAATATTTCTATGTAAACTATATGCATTCCTTTTTCTGTATCATATATATTAGCATACTAATGTTAAGCAAAGCTATATTTTTCCTAAGCTATACTTTCCCTTGGTCCTACTTTATCAAAGTGACCTTGTTTAAATAAATGTTGTTTTTCTCGAAAATTTTGTGGACTAGCACAGTCCTATTCAAAAACTTTATCAAAATTTAGATCCAAAAACACTTTGCTTTATTAGAATTCTTAAAATATATTTCCAAGATTATGTTAAAAAGATTATATGAAAGCTATTCCAATTGCTTTTACTTCTCAAACCTATATCATAAATAATTTTGTATATTCAAACAAGCTATTGCATTGCACCGTGCTAATTCTAGAGCACTTAGCTTAACTAACAATTACACACACAATCACTTTAGAATCGCACCATTACCCGGTGCAAGTGCATTAGTAATGCACACCCATTACGATTGCTCAGGGCAGGTTTGAATTATAAAAACCGTTTAGGCTTACTAAATATTGTATTCTCAAACCTAATGTGAGTCGGGTGCTCTTTAATGTAATCCTTTCAAATGGAGCGTATGTGGGTTCGCCACCACGAAAACTCTCTTAAAAATTCCCCACTAGTGAATATTATTGAAACTTGTTAATAAATTAAATTTTAAGAAATCGAAAAGCAGTTTTATCCAACCATAAGAAGGGGGATGGGGATTGGAATTTTCACACCAATGATATTGGTCAATTATTTTGTTTGAAAATATCTTTAAATATTGTAAGTTCCATATTAAATGTTTGTAAATGAAAGAAGAAAGGAGGATTTATATGTGATAAGAAGCTCTTTCGTATCAAATCTATTACTATACACACATTAAAATCCATATTGAAAATATGTGTGTAGATTTCTTGTTAAAGGACACATTATGGTTTATGTCACATTTCAAACGTATACTATTCCACCAGCCAGAATAAGCCGTTAAAATGCTATTTATGGTTGCATATTTTATTCCAAAGAAAGAAAATGAACAATTCCTTATCATCACAAAATAGACCGAGGTGGCCGCGCGGCGGGCAGACTGCCAACTCGCTTCAGCAATTATACAAATCCCCGAGGATTTCTTCTCCACAAATTACTTTCTCCAATTTCAATGAATAAAGAAACAGCAAGATAAAGGGCTTTAGATAAAGTAATGAAGGAGAAATATTACAAGTTGGCTTTAGTGTTTGTTGTCTTTCGTTCTGCCCTAGGGTAATTACGGTGATATTTTCTCCTCCTTATCGAAAATATACATAAATTAGTAGTTCCAGGATTGCGATGAAATATTATGTCTGAGGTAATATTTTATGACTGCTTTCTTCTTGTTTGTTTTTTCGGTGTATTTTATGGGGTTAATCAGTTATATTTTTCGAATAAGCTAGGTTTAAACCCATTTTGCAAAACGCGTGTCAGTAAGATTAAAGTACCATTCCGTGAAAACAGTTTGACTATCAGATGTGTTTTATTTTTATAATATAATAAAGGAAAATGTTTTTCAGTTTTTGAGAAATTTTAATAGAAATCCAAAGTAGAGATATTTGCTATTGAACTTGTCTAATCGGTTTCTTGGCGTCAAGTTATGACTTTCGCCACTATTGCAACATCATCAGGTGATATAAAACGAGAATCTATTTTTAACCAAGAAATTCAGTTGCATTTAAAACACCAAATATTACGCCCTTGTGAATTTGGCTTGAAAACTATTAAAACCGGGCTTGACTGCCACGTGTCAAGAATTCTTCCTCAACACACTGGATTAAAACATTAATTGTGAATTTTCCTTTAAAAATTACCCTTAAATATTAAATGTAAACTGCAAACATATTTTATTGAATCTATAATACGTTTGATGATCTGAACAGTGTAGTCAAGATTCTAAAGGTTTGTATAACCGAAATAGTGATTTTTCATACGTATTATTTTATGTTTCAGAATGCTGTAGTGGTAGACCTGTAACTTCCGATGGCTATGTTGGCAATACTGCTTCTGGGCTCGTGTCTGGCAGCGGCCACGCATGGCAGAACCGTCCAGGAACTTCCTCGGTACCTCTGGAGAACAGGTTGGTACCCTGATGTCGCCTGGTGAGGGATTTTTACCCACGCGTGGGATATTTTAGCTACCTTTGGAGAGTATGAATTTGTAATTTCCTCAGTACAGTCTAGATAATAGAAAATACTCTGGAGTACTGTTTATCTTCGGAGAACAGGTATGTATAGTGAGGTCAGTAAGGAGATTTTCCCATATTCGAGAAATATTTAGCTAACTTTAGGATAGAACCTGCAATTGTCTCCGTCAGTGAAATAATTCAGTAATTTTGATTTATGGAAATAGTGTAACAATCCATTTTTAATTCTACTCATAACCTAACAAATTTGGTTTATCGTGGATCTATGGATTTTGTATCAACTAAGTCATTAGATTATATCCACTAACAGTTGTTTTGTCTTTCCTGTGAAGTGGTGCCTTCAGTAGATGTATTGTCTAAGATCTTACCTACCTATTTTCTTAATGCCTTCAAATAATATTAAAAGTGTCCTATAAGAATGTTATTTTAATTTAAACCCCTCCTACTGTGAAGTCATCCAGTATATAATATGAGCAATTTAAATTTTATGTGAAACAACAATTTTAATAAATTAAATATATGTTGTCTAATTAGGTAAAGTTAGAGCCAAATGACCCCAATAGCACTTGTGAGGTCTAAGGACCAATAAACAAGATAATTAAGTCAAGCTAGCTTAATATTTTCATCAATAAATAATCTGGAAGTTTAAAAAACAGCAGAACAAATAAGAAATACACATAATACAACCAATCATACACACATCAGCATTACAATTTCGTTTTTACAATAAATTCTTCAAACACCAGACAGTCTTGCCAAAGAGCATCTGACGCACGATTCATAAAACATTAGTTGCCTAGAGAGCAAAAACGTGTCATGGTTGAAGTGGCTGCTGAAGTGTGAAGTGGGATGTGACGCAAACCAAATTATGGTTTGAGAAACCTTTCTGACACTTCGGGCTGATTACTTTGTAACTATATCAAGGATCGGGCAAAGTCAGGGAGGAGAGGTGAGGGTGGGTTAATGTGCAGGGAATTTGACCACAGTACAGGTGTACAATCAACCCCCAATTTTATGAAATAGTTCTACAACATGTTTTTTTTTTGTTTAATTCAATCGTTGTTGTGGCGTATTAAGATGAATATTATTATTGAAATTTAAATTAAGAAATCGTGGGAAATGTAAATATTGTTATTTTAAACTATAAAGTACACAAGAGTTTACAACAAATATAAACCGTTTACGAGTTAAACATTTTGTTGTGAGTTGAGGTGTAAACGTGGATAAAAAATGGTGTAAACACATGTTTACAGCTTCTGGAAACCTTAATTTTTGCCCAACACTAAACACGACCGAAGATTCGGTAGGTATTCAATTAAAATTATTATAGGCAGTAGCCTCCCCCTTATATTGCCGCAACGCATCCGAAATGGTAGACAGCATTTCCCGCGTATTCACATGGTATCAATTAATTAACTTACTCAGCTACGTAATTTTTGCGGTGAATAGCTTTCTTACTTACTAAGGTGTTTCCTTGGTGCGCAAGCGAAGCGCCTAGAGCGGAATCCGCATTCCGTTCTCCTGTTGTCTGAAGCCGGGTTTTCTGAGGCCCGGAAGCGGAACGCGGAACGCCACCGTTTTCCGCACTCGACTCCCCACGTTCCGCCCTGAGTTTCCGCACCTAGGAAAACCCGGCCTTTAGGTTATTCAAAAAGCTAATTGGTTTTAGAGTGAGTTTACAAATGTCTTAATGATACTAATTGTGGTTGGTTCGCCAACAACGTTGTTTCAGGCACAAAGAAGCAACAGACAGCACAGGTATTACAGACCGTCCCTATCAAACGAGGATTACACGTTTCTTAAACGACCTTCCTGGAGCGCGAGACACGATTACAAACGTTAATCTCTTTACTTTATGAACGTTTTATCACAGTTTCGTTTTATCGCTTTATATAGTTTAGTCTTTCCTGCATTTTTTTACGTTTTAGTAACGTTTTGCTGGAAAGCTAACATTGGTATTTTAAAATTTGTCACTGACATTAGTATGGATTTTTTTTGCAAAAACCCCCAGGATTTGTTGAGATCCTCGTGAAGTAGATAAGTTTGTTCGAATTAATGGAACGTGTTTTATCGTAAAATGCATGCATTTACTCTTAAATGTAGTTTCTATCAGAAACCATGATAATGTATGTTTTTGCATCTCTGAGAGAAAGTTATCTCAATAATTGATCAAGAAATTAAGGTGAAGATATAATTTCAGAAAGATTTGTCTGGGTTTCATTTAATAACACCATCTAAGCAACATATGTTGTACAATGTGTGGTTTGAAAGCTACTCTGCACTAAAATTTAACGTTTCTGAGATTTCTAAAATATTGTGAAGATGTTTTCCAGACTATGTTTCGCACCAACAGTTAACATTGAAGGCGCTGCCACAGTGGCCTCCGGAATAGCCTCGTTTCCTGTAAAAATATGGCATAAAATTACAAAAAAAAAACAAGGAAAATATTTTTAACATAAACACAGATTCGACCCTGCAAACATCGATTCGATCTGGTCTGTCGGTGTACCCACAATCCCCTCAGGCTATGCCACGTGGGCTTAACAAGTTTTGAGGTAGAGCTTAGAAAAGTAAATGGTCTTCTCACTAGTCTCCATGGCATCAAAAGCCCAAATTTTCTTATATTTTTAGCCTCTCATCCACTCAACTATGAAATTAATTTTTTGAAAATTGTTAGTACAATTTGAGTTTTTTTTCATGGATGTGTAAGATTCCTTCTTATTGTATTCCAATTTGAGAGGGGGACTCTACCTAAGTGTGCTTTTTACCCCGAATATGAGTGAAGAATGAGGTGAAGTGCCTTGTGTAAATTTGTTTTAAGATCAGCTGTTTCTTTGGTCAGGGCCACTTGTTAAAAGTCCAATGATTATAGACAGGCCGGGTCAGGTTTAGATTAATAAACCACCAATTTTAGCCTTAAATTAGCACTACAAAAATCCTTACCCTTTTAAAGTTGCACTATAATAGCTGCGCAACTTAACTGCTGGTCGCTCACCTGACAATAAATATGTCGCAGGTTCATAAGTTTTTTTTTATGGTTAGAGAGTGCAAAGTGGGCCTTGTTATTCTCGATCTATGTGCTTTTAGCAATCGGGCTGGCTACGGAACATCTGGTCTTAGTAACAAAGGTACACAAGTAATTTCACTCTATTTTACACTCATCTTTTGTTCAAAATAAGGTATGCCTACTGCCTAGTCTCAATCTTTTTTAGTAGTAATAATCAAGCAGTGGCGTGAATTTTCACATATTTTAAGCTGACTAGGCAGATCTGTATTTAGACAACTTGGCCACTACATTTTTGCTCCTGAATCTTTTCCTATGGAGAAAAAAAAATAATAAAATGTGTGTTGGATATACTGTAAAATGGGTTGTGCTGTCCACAGCTATGTAACTGACATCGACGGTTCGTTTATCTTATTATTTATACCAGGATCATTTCGAGTAAAATTAAGTACAACTGGGCAAGTTTACAATACAAAAGCTACTGAACAGTTCACTCGATTATTCACTCCCTTTACGTTTAGCCCCTTGGTGACTTTGCTGCGTCAATAGTAATAACAATGATAAATTGGATTTTCATAGATATATGAAATGAAATAGAACAAACGCAACAGAAGCTTTTTGATTAATAATGTTAACGTAGCCAAATGGTTATATTGCGGACGATAAATCTAAAGGCCGCTAACTCGGTCCTAAGGAGGTAGATTATAGATTATAGACTCAGATACGACTGTTCATCAGTTCAACAACAATTGGTGTTGGTTAGTTCCAGCAAAAGATTGGTCACGATTATAGAAACAAAGCCAGTGTTTCGACCGTAATCTTACAACAATGTAAAAATTCTAATGGTGTTAAAACGAACTAATAAATCAGCATTAAAATATACAAGAACATACTTGCAGTAGGCAGCGCAGTTACTCTTGTAGTCCACGGCTCCCCAGACACAACTTCCAATCAAAACATCAGCCTCGGCCTCCTTGATAATGACAGCAGCAACCACCAGGGTTGCTAGCAGCACTAACATACACTTGTTGGCCATCTCTGCTGTAACTACTGTAACTACGATAACTACTGCAGTAACACTGGTTGAAAGCGTCGGTCTCTATATACCACGCCGTCCAGGAAAACAATGATCGGTCGACGCACTACTGCAGGGAAAGAGTTAGGGAAACCCCCCACATTAGCACCACGAGATAACTAGTGATATAGTAAAAATAAATTAGTTTGTTTCAGAGGCAATCAAAATACTTGTACAAAACGTCTAAATTATAACAAAGTATTATCTATGTTTCACATGTTTGTTGTGATTTCTAGTGTTTTGTTTTCCTCGCTAGGTCGTTAATGTGAATGGAATAATCTTGAACCACATTAGTATATTTGGAGTCGTCTTCGTGTAAGGACGATTCACAGTTGACGTATAGCACTTGGTGGAATCCATGTTGCTTTGGTGGATATCCATTTTGCTTTGGTGGATATCCATGTTGCTTTGGTGGATATCCATTTTGCTTTGGTGGATATCCATGTTGCTTTGGTGGATATCCATTTTGCTTTGGTGGATATCCATGTCGCTTTGGTGGATATCCATGTTGCTTTGGTGGATATCCATTTTGCTTTGGTGGATATCCATGTTGCTTTGGTGGATATCCATGTTGCTTTGGTGGATATCCATGTTGCTTTGGTGGATATCCATTTTGCTTTGGTGGATATCCATTTTGCTTTGCTGGAAATCCATGTTGGGATTGTATTGAGTTAATTGACTACACAAGAAACCGTATTAATTTTCAAGCAGAAATCATACTTAGCAAGTGAAAAAGAATACGTTTTGGAATTAAATTATTCCCGATGTAACTGTGAACACCCTTTTGAAGTGAAATATCTGCCAATTAAAGAGTAAAGATGCCGATTAAAAATACAGTTATTTTCTGAACTCTGT